GGATAAAAGCAATCTTCGTGGCTTTGCATTCTGTGAACTTTCCAAGTTGAAGAAAAGATATCCGATTAAATAATTAGCTTTTTTACAGCATTGTCGTGTCAGACATTTTGGTTTTGATTTGCGCCTGAAAATATAAAGTTAACATGCAACAAATTCATACGTAATCCATACGTACACAAAACATGCAGATTTGATTTATATTTTTGTGTTATCTTGAGATCATTTATCTTTATTTAACCTGCTGATAAAAGCATTCCTCCAACTTCTCAGTGGTTAGTGTCTGTTTAAAATCATATTAAATATATCATGTTTAAGATCATGTTAAAAAAGACAAATTGTCAGAAAGCTTGGGTAAATGGCGTAGTACTAAACTTAGCCTACTTGCACTGAATTGAATTGTTATATATTTATATATGTATACGATAAAGATGATATATGTATACACACACAAACACAGAGGCGTCGTGGCTGGGGGGGGGGGGACCGAAGGCACGTGCCCCCTATCATCTACCATTCGGCCATTTGTCGGAAATTTTCCTATCTGTTCGACAAAATAATTTTTTTTCAATATTATTTTTCAATAATATTTTGTACGAGATACTTTTCAACAAAAAAAGAACTATTTACAATATTTGTTTGACTATAATAAGAGAGAAAAAAGAATAATTAAATAAAAATAAATAAATAAAATGAAATAATGCGAATTGCTGCTCTACTAAGGGGTCGTGTTTTGGTCCTGTGGAAGGTTCGAATTTCTAAAACCTGTTTTAAAACGAGCGATGGATTCTTTTTCTCGAATGTTGTTAGGGATATCATTCCAGTTTTTGACACCAGAGAAATAGAAACCTCGCTTTGCATACTATGTATTTTGAACGTTTATTTTTGTAGATTTGACTTTGGACATTTATATTTTCTTTCCATCGATATATGGGGAAGGGAAGAAAAACAAGATTCGCTGAAGAGGAGCCGATATCACCAGTAAACATGGAAGAGCCACCAAGAACTGTTTTTCATCCAACAAAATACTTCGGAGAGCCAGGAGAAGACATTGAAAAATGGCTCAGAAGCTTTGACAGAATCTCTTAGGCCTGGTTGAAACGTCGTGCTTCTCATGTGCCGAACCTAGCTCGAGAATTAAGTACATGAGGGGCGCGACGTTTGAATCAATTTGGTATGGCAGATTTAGTTAGGAGCGGCAGACTAGTTTGGATCGGCAGAGCTTGCCGAGCTGCACGGCTCCAGCACGGCACGGTTTCAAGCGTCGAACTTGCCATGTACCGAACTCAATGCATAATTATATTTAATTTATTTTTCTTCCCAAAATTCATTTCTTTCTTGGAGGGCGCCTGCGTTTCAAACAAATATTTGAGATTGTGCGCCTCAACCAAGATACTTCATGTAACAATCTTAAAACCCATTTGGCGCGACATGATTAAGTTCGATGTTTGAAACGGGAGTCGCGCTAAACATGCTCAAGTGTCGCTCCAAACAGAGTTCGGTTCGGCACATGATAAGTGCGACGTTTGAAGCAGGCCTTAGGCAAACGGATTGACAGAAAAACGCCAGGTCGAAATGGTTTAGTTTATCAAGATTCTTATGTCAATCAAATCGTCATTAAATTACGAAGGAACTGTTAAATGTCTGAAGCACAGGCTACATGACCCCCGGAACCAACCTTGATAGAGGTTATTTTGTCAACTACTTTATCAGCAACCGCGTTCTTTCGAACTTTTATCTGTGTTGACCTTAATCTCATTAGCGGAGCTATGTATAGCAATGTTGGACTGAATCCCCGCTAATTAAAGTCGAGTCGTTTCGGACGCCAGTGTTTTGATGTCACTAGTTGAAAATTTCTCCATAGATTTGAGGGCTGTTTGCATTTGTGGATGCAGACCGCCCACGAAATATCGTTGAAATCTGGGTAGGCTAATTTCACCAATTCCATCAATTTGTATGCATAGCAGCCACGTAGCTGCAGGGGGGGGCACGGGGCTGTGCCCCCCCCCAAATGAAAATTTTGACAACAGCTTGCCCCCTCTGGCTACTGTTTTTCCAAATGATATTTCAAAAATTTGGCATATTTATAATTCCATGACCTTGATTTTGTCCAAATATATCTGTTTGATATATATCTGTTTTCTTGTTTTAAAGCCTGCCCCCCTGAGGTATGGTTCTTGCTCGAGTTTGCCCCCCCCCCTAGCCGACACCTACAGCTACGTGGTTGATGCATAGGTATGTGCAGACTCCCCTTGTTTACGAGGGCGGTTTGAAAGTTCGAAGATTGCTTCCTCTCGATTTAACTGCCCTTTCTCGAATTCTTTTAGGAGCTCTTCCTTTATTTTGTCAACTTCCTTTCTATCCTTGGTTATCGGTAGATAAACGCATATAAACATCGAAAGCAGGCCCATCTTTGCCAAATTTTGCGCGCATTTCTGTCAGGTATTCTCTTTTTAATGAAGAATGTAGCTCGACCTTAACGATAAATTCCTTCACGTTTCCTTGTCCGTTAAAGGCATTTGACATGCATAAGTACAGCGAATCCAAAAATAAATTAGGCCAAATTGATCAGAGCACGCGCACAAGAAATGAATTGGAAACTGCTCACGTGAAACCATTGTGCACTGCTCTAGGATTTCGCCGATTTGCAGAAAGGCGGAAACTGTTCACATGTTTTTCTCTGTGCGCAATTTGATTGGTCAAACGTTGTTGGTCGAGTGGCTGTAAGCCACTTTTACCTGTGTCAAATGCCTTTAAACAATTTGATTTTATTTCTATTTTGGTTCTGTAATAGAAATGTAGCCGTATAGTAGTCGAGACTCACTCTAAGAAAGATCTATTACAGAATAACAAAACATACAGCACAGCGGAATATAAGCGAATATAGTCCAACAGAGAGTGTGCGTATTTATTGTGCATTGGTGTCAGTGTCTACAATATAGGGTTGGTAAGATCTTAAGCCAAAAACCCACTCCGGAAAATGTTCCGAGGATCGGATCAGATTTTATGTTGCGCACGCGCTTTGGATGCAAAAACGGTCACATGACTGATCCGCGACGGATCGAAACGGATCGAAAAAGAAGTTGAAATCATTTCAACTTTCTTTTGTACCGTTCCGGTACAGTACTTTTCTTTTGATCAAGATCGAATTAGAACTATTTTAACAATAGAGCACTTGCGTCATGAGGCAAGGTCTGATGGATATAATTGTCAACGCGCATTCCAATCTGAAACGATGCGCAGATCGAAAGGAACTGACCAGAACAACACGATCTGATCCGATCCGCGGATCTTTTCCAGAGTGGGTTTCCGGCTTTACGTTTAGGTATTTTCTGCAATTGTTCTTTTTAAAATAACTCCTATTGTCATGCAAATTAGATTTTAGGCTTTCATCAATCAGCATGGACCTTGTAAAACTTCTGGAAGACCACAGAATAGAAACGCGCAAACCTATTGTTTCTTACTCTGACCACCTTGGGTTGGTGCACGCAAACTTCTAAGGTGCCGACCGAGAGTTCACCTTTGCGTATTTCCTACCCAACGTTTCCAACCACTCCGTTATCGTTTGAGCTTTTGCAAGGAAAAATGAGTCTGAATCAGATAACGGTTTACTGTGGATCAAATCCTGGTAAGGATCCAAGTTTTATAGAAGCTGCAAAAGGTGAGAGGCACAGGATATTCCATTTGCATTTCACGTAAGGCACGCGGCATGTCACGTGGGTCCCAGTCTGTAGAGATTGGCAGTTCTCGACAAGATCGTGTGTGTAAGAGTAAACAAAAAAGGTGTGTATGTGTGCAAGAGTGCTGACAAGGCGTGTAATCTGGGCACGGTATTCAGTTTATGCCAAATGGGATTATATTTTTGCATGGGTTCATTCATATATTTTGACAATTCTAGACCCCATCCCCTTGAATTTTGGCAACTTCTAACAGGGTAGCAACAGTTGGGTGGGATTTAAGTGTGGGACTTGTGGGGATCTCAGTCAGTCAATTTTAACACAATTCGGTCAACATAATGAGCCTTATGGAGTAAGTTGCTGTCCCTTTTATCATAAATTCTTATTTACTGCAAAGAATTTGGTAAAAACAAGACCACACAACAGGGCCGCCGGAGCCAGGGGGCATGGGGGCACTGGCCCCCCTGTTTGCAAAAAGTATAAACATATGCCCCTTTTCGATAAATAGATTGCGCGTATTTTTTCAATGCCAGATATTCTGCCTTTAGAAACTAAGTAAAATAACATAACTCTGGACGTTGTTGGAGGACCATTCACTGAAATTTCCTTAAATTTTTACTTGGCCTTGATGCAAAAAACTCAAGCTCCTGTGATGAATTATATCAACTGTGAAGGAGACTGCTATTTTTGCGAGAAAATTTCCGTAGTATGTCTTCAGCAACAAACGCATTAATGAAAGGTCCGCATCAAGTACCTGGCAGGCACAGTCAGTTGGTCCAATTTATATCGTGTGTGTTCCTGAAAGTAGAAACTGGACCCATATCTCTGATTCTGGGTTGTGAAAACTTACCCTATTCTGTGACTTTGCCAAAATTTTGTAACCATTTTCACTGAGAATATTCAAGCTTGAGCAGGGATTTTTAACACCAATTCATGTTAGAACCATTCCTTTTCTTAAACTTATGTCAAGGCAAGTTAAAAAGCAGAGTTCACTAAATTTGATTTTAGCAACAATCCCTTATGGTTCTTAACAAAATCAGACAGCTGTAAAACTATAACTACAACATATTGCTTACTTCACAACATTATATTAAATTTTTTTATAAACATGAAAAAGTTGAGTACCTGCAATGAGTACATGCTAGCAAAGACTTAAATAAAGACTTAAGTTTCTTATCTAGGATTAGAACAATATACAAGACTAGATGCTAAATTTGTTGTACTTTCTTAATGCCATCATTTTGCCAAAAAATTATATGTAACATCATATCAGTAAATCCCTGCCCTTTTGTGTTTTCTCTGACTGATTAAAAAAAGCAGATTCTATGCTCTATAATTCTAGCTTTCAGACCATCCTTTCTCAGAGTTTTTGGAAGTCAGATGTAATACGTTTGACCAACTGACTGAGGTCATGCCGGGATCAAGTCTAAAGAGAGTTTAAAACTTTTATCGTTCGTAAGACTGATGAGATAAACCTAATCAATGATGCAAATTAAATTTTCTATGGCAGTGAAGAATGTCCCCACACCTTAAGCCAATTGCGTAAAGATGACTTAAACATAAAATTTTGTAGCCTTTAAAAAGTATTCCATGGAGGCAAACAAATTATGTGCTTTAGTGGCCATGGGAAGGCGCAAATACCAAGGGGGACTAAATTGTTTAAATATAAAACTAAGGAAATTCAAATCATTATTTGAAAGAGCTTTTGATAATCATAGAGACTGAAACTTTGCTTTGAAAGGGAGAGGGATTGGAATTGGCATTGAAGTATATAAAGACTAGGAATTCGAAAATTCCATTCAGTTAATATTTTGGGTTAGATTCATTGGTATGTTCAATAAATTTGAACATTTGTTGAGTATAGTTTTCCTGCCACAAGTATGAAAGAAGGATGTGTGCTCGCTTCTTACCCAGGGCCAAATCCACTTACAATGCAAACTATATAGAAAAATAAGTACAGCGTATTGTAATAGAGGTACAAATCATACATGGAAGAAAGATTTACACTCTCAAAAGAATTTTGAAGGCCACAAGAATACAATTAATTATGATCATAGTCAGTGGAAAAACTTTTCAACTTTTCAAATGTTATGATCAAGAGTGCATGGTCCCTAAATGGAGTAAGTAGCCATGTCTACTTTAAGCAAAGATAATTCTCAATATGTCCAACGTGTGTCATTTTCTTATAAATTTCTAAATTACCATGAAATCTGTACCATTTTTGGCACTTACTAATGTTTCGAAAAAAATATTTTTCTGCCCTTTTTATTCGTTTTGGCCTGCCCCCCCCCCCCTGTTCAAGCCTGTGTCCAGCGGCCCTGCACAAGTAATATGTTATTCAAAATTTAAGGCTTGAAATCTTGCATACATACCCCCAGTTTCAAGCAAGTTTAAATAAATAAGATCACAGTCTCAAATCTCTTTCCTGGCCTCTAGTGAAAATCCAGCTTTTTTGCAGACAATAACCAAGAAAGTATAGGCAGACCAGAATATTGCAAGTGATGCTTGGGAAGTGGTGTAATGCTATCAAAAGAACAAGGAGGGCTCTTGCACATAATATTGCTAAAAACAAAAGCAAAATTATAAATTGGTTATATATTTGGCATTAACAAAGGGGGCTCAACCCCTCCTGGCCCCCTAGTGCTACACCCCTGTACTTGAGCATAAGTCAGATTAATATGTAGATTCCTGAAAAGTTGTATTTTCTTCGATTCAAACCTTTTTATGCATCTTGTTACCAATGGGAAACTCGTCTCTTGATAAGCCATTGCTTAGGAAACTGACATTTTCCAGAGGAGTTTCCAGAGAACTGCAATGAGCCTCAATGGCCTTAGCATATCATGGGTCATGAATTAAGAATTATATCAAATCAAAATATCAAGATACAAGATGATTCCAATTCTACCATAATCTAAAGGGTTTGGTCCTTAAAAATTTCCCCCCTGGCCTCCCAGACCCCCCCTTCTCCTTACTAATATACCTCAGGTATTTCTTGCATCAACCCCTCAAAATAAGCAGCTTGCATGCTTTTTATATTCTAGCTGGGAAGCCTTTTGTTGATTCTTTTAGATTCCAGAGCTTCTGAGATCCAGAGTATCATCAGAAAAAACATGATCTGCTCACACAGTACACATGTGATGCATGGTGGGTTATCCTTTTTCCATTGTGTTTAAGGAGACCGGATCGGCCTTAAAATTAACAACATAGATGGTTCTGATGCTGTGGGAAACCCTCATCAAGTTAAAAAAGTTTAATGAACACAAAGAATCCAAATCTATTATTATCATCTTTATATTTCAGAGAACATGTTGTAAAAATGAAGATTAGAAGGTTGTCCAATCTTTTGGAAAGGGTGGCAATACATATAAATTTTTTTCTGTACCCAACAAATGCGTGTGCAGCTCTAAGTTTTTGTGTGCGTTAGACAAGCCCCTGAAAAAATCTTGTGTGTTCACATGCCACACTCCACAGACTGGTGTGGGCCTCTATTTCAAGTCATAGCACCTAATGTCATAAAAATATATTATTTTAGAATTTTTTTCTTTTGATCTTAAACTTTTGATCTTTTGATGTAAACTTAAATAACTCCACTGAATACTGCTGGAAGTGCAAAAATTAACAACAGTCCCTCAATATCAGAAGCAAAACCTATTTTAGTACCTAGTGTCACTCTATTTTAGTGTCATTCTTTTTTAGTGTCACTCTTTTTTTAGTGTCACTCTATTTTAGTGTCACTCTTTGTGAAATAAAGGTGCCATTGAGGGGGGGGGGGGGCTCGAGGAGGGCTCAATCCCATTGTCAAAATCAAAAGACACTTGGGGGTCAGCTCCCCTTAACAACCCAGTTTATGTTTCGTTGGGCAAATTAAATTAGTCCTTAAATGCTTGAATAGGCAATTTATATCAGCTTTACATTTGGGTTGGTGAATAGTTCAAATAATTTAAATAATTTCATATACATAACAGAAAATCTTTAACACATTTCAAGCATATTGCATGTGACAATGGGTGTGGTATAGGGTGTGGCACCTGGAATTTGCCTACAGCACAGCCCCCTCCTAACTTTTTAGGACAGTACCCCAGCTGTAAAACCAAGCTTGGTAAATATTTTTCTTAATTACAGAGCTTGGAGGGTTATTTCTACAAAGGAACATTGCTCTAATATATGGAGGTAGCAGTTCAGGCCTTATGGGATGTATTGCCCAAGTTATAAGCAATGGAGGTGGGAAGGTCACCGGTGTTATACCTCAATTCATGTGTGGTAAGTCTTATTGTTATTAAACCTCATAATAAGCTAGTTTCAGGGCCCATTGTAAATTTTCACTTGTTTTCTTTTCATGAAGCAATTTTTAATTCAAAGGTTTGTACCATTTTTTATCAAATCGGTTCTAAATTTCCCCCTGTTTCTATGATGCAAATAGGATCTCTAGCATAAACATAGGCAGTAGCGTAGTGAGGGGGCAAAGGGGGTACTGCCCACTCCCCATGTGTAATGGGGTTTGAGTAGATAGAGATCGACAGCAAGAGATTGCGTGCAACTCGTATTGAGATAATGAACTGACTAATGATTCTAAACAGCAATTAAAATATATACAAACAGAAAGGTTGTTATAAACATAATTAGCATGAATTAGCGATTAAATTCCAGTCCTATTACAAATGCTCAAAAAGTTGGCGTCTGAGAAAAGTGCAAATCTGCAATAAAATTAGTGCCTTAGGGGGGGTCAATATTTCAGACAAAAATGTTTGCAGACGACTGCAAGCAAAGAACTGTAAGGAATATTCTAAAATGTATTTTAGGCTTGTAATATATTCTAATGATAATAGTTAACCCCCAGGAAGAACGGTCAGTGGTGAGAATGATATTGCGAACTACGAACTACAACAAAAACGGCGTAAACAACTTGCCTGAAGGTGTCAAAGTTTATTGTCCTATTGAATTAATACACAATATATGACAATGCTAATCTTAAGGGTGTGGTTGCAAAAATTTTCACCTTGCTTTGCTCATAGAGGACCCTCATCTATGCCTCTACAGATTTTTTTACAATTTCCTCTCAATTAGGGTTTATTTAGAAAAGTCCTTCCATTTTCTTGACATTCCTGATAAATGGAAACTGATCTGATAAAGCTCTTCAATCCTTTAAAAAACTTAATTCTGAAATACTTGTCAAGGCTTTTGCAGATTTTGCTCCAAAGAGACTGAGTTAGTTTGAAACTTTTGAATGCTGTTTTTTATATTTAGATATTTGCTTACAACTTTGGAAAGTTAGTTTTTACATGTAGAGCTTCATCCCCTTACACAATTGAGCATATAACAATTAGAGAAATGGTGAAGGAAATAGACAGTTGTAGAATGGGATCAGCCACAATAAAGCTACATATGACAGTTAAATTGTTTTTGATTAGCCAACAATTGCCATGTAAAAAAGCCTTCCTTATCTTTTTAAGACGCATTTACAAAATGGGATGTGTTCCCAAATTCATAAGGGTGTGGTCAGCAATAATTTTCCAGTTGTAAATCCCCTAGACCCACTGCTGTTAGACCCCTTCTATGCCTCCTAATCTTCAAACTCTGGCTACGCCACTGAGCACAGGAGGCATATTGGCTGGGAATGCTGCAGCTCCCATAATCAGGAAAACTTTATTGCATTTGAGGTACCAAATGGTGCTGGGAAAAGATCTACAAGGGTGTCAGAAAGGAGTTTATCATAGAGAGAGAGACCAAAGTACGGGCAAAGACTCATCCCTGGATGACATCTAAGATAAGGAAGGACAGTGCTGAGGAGAGGGGTGGTCAGGAGGGTCAATGACCCGGGGGCCCATGACTTTAGGGGCCCATAGATAATAACTTAGCAATTCAGCGTCTCCATTATCAAAACTTGTCAATAATAGAAAAAAACCTTTAAATTAAATGAGTTAGAAGCAGCAGCAGTATTAAAACCCCATTATGTTTGTCAAACAGAGCTAGTAGCTTTAGGTAATTTTCTAGTTAGTTAACAAAACAATTTCCAAGTCTTTACATCTGTAAAAGGGTCAATTATTGAGCTCTAGTAAAATTTTTGGAAATTTAAGTTTCCTTGGACAATTTCAGTTTCTTTGGACAAAACTAGCAAGCAAAGTCAGAAACAACCTTAATGCAATGAAAACATTGGGAAATAAGCGTTGCAAATTCAAATGCTTAAGCTTGTTCAACAGCTGCAATGGTTGATCCTTAGAAAAAGTGACTACCCGATGATGTTAGGAGATATGTCATCCCTTTTTGCTGCCCAGAATTTTGCTCTTTTTTGCTCTTTTTTGCTAGGTCATCAACCTTGTGTATAATCAAAGAATACTGAACCCCTCCCATATCTCGCCAATTGACGTGAATCACCTAATCATCTTTGCTGTAACACTATCAATAATAGCAATGCCGACATTATCTTGAATTTTACCAAAGACCTTTTCCTGGTTTCACTTGAAGATAGAGACAAACTTGACTGATTTCCGTTAGTCTTCAATTTTTTGAGACATCAAGCCCCTCGTCTAAACGAGCTTCTTCCAAGATAGAATCAACTAGTTTATTATTGACATTTAAGGGTTCCATTCAGATTTCTAGATGTAAAGTTTTTCAAATTATTTGAATAGTGAAAGTCTATTTGGTGCAGCGTGTCCGTTTTGATCAAATTTAGTATTTAAACGTTTTTCACTTCCTAAGATTTTTAAGTGTAAAGAATTGCATATTTTAAAGTTAAGAAATACGCATGCATTATGACGATAGAATACCAGTCATGCTTAAACTATATTGAAAATAATAAAGAAGTAATAACCACCATCGCAATTTCAGCAACCAAAATAGCCGCAATTTTAGCAACCATCTTCTCAAAAATTTTCCCCGGACCCCTTAAAAGGGTCGCCTCCGGCGTGCCTTGCTTTTTTCTTTTGTTTTGACCCGGGGCCCAGAAATCCTCTCCGCGGCCCTGAGGAAGGAAATAAACTAAAGGTACAAATGTTTACAAATTGCATTGCACACTAACAATCAAAATGACTGGAATGCATACAAAAGAAAACGAAATGAGGTCACTTCTATCCTAAGAGCAGCTGAAAGAAACTACTGGAAAAGTAGCCTAGCTGAGGCAAAGCAAAGTGGATCTAAAGACTTTTGGAAAATTGTCAGAAGATTAACAGGAAAGGAGAAAGATAACAAGAGAATAGGGCCAATTGAGAATGACGAAAAAGTCCTAGTTTACTCGACAAAGAAAAGGCAGAAGCATTTAACAATTATTTCACGGACATTGGCAAGAATTTAGCAAGTCAGTTTCCTTTACCTGATCAATCTGATTACTCTTACATTACCAGATTGCGCCCAACCCTGTTGGAAGTGTCAAACATCCATGATACTCTAAAAAAGCAGTTGGACAAAATGAAGCCTGGCAAAGCACCGGGGTCAGGTAAGATAACACCAAGAGAGATAATAATGTGTAAAGACGAACTGCATCATGGTTTATATAGTCTCTGTTACCACAGCATGAAATCAAGGCAGTTTCCCTCAGAATATAAAATAGGAAAACTACGCCTGTCTTTCAAGAAAGGATGTAGTGTAGATCGTGGCAACTACAGACCTCTTAGCATGCTAAGCACACCTGGTAAAATTATCGAGAGCGTCAGATGCACTAATGTAGATAGTCACCTCGAAACTTCTCCGAAACCGCATCAGTTGGGATGTAAAAAAGGTTTATCTACTGAGATGATGCTTGTTTATCTCACAGAAACTTGGAAAAAACTCATGGATCAAAGGAAATATGTGGGTGTATTGTTCATCGATTTTCGAAAGGCGTTCGATACAGTTGACCACATAATTATAAAACACAAGCTTCAGCAAGCAGGATTCTCGGGAAATATAGCACTGACAATTCAAGATTATCTGAACAATAGATTTCAGTTCACAGAAATTGACATAAGCGTCTCAACACAAATTGAGTACGGAGTACCACAAGGCTCACTCCTTGGGCCAAGACTGTTTTCGATGTATGTAGACGACTTCCCTAAAGCCCTCAGTAAAGGTCAACTTGAGATGTATGCTGACGTCACCACCGCATATTGTGATAGCAGTACCATGGCCGAAGTATGTGAAGATTTGCAGACAATGCTGAGGGACATACACCAATGGTGTGCCAAAAATAGGCTAACTATTCACCCTGAGAAAACGAAAGCCATGATACTAAACAGGCACAAATCCATTGGTCCCCTGAATGAACTTAATCTTGGTGAACAGACGATAGAGTACGTGCACACATCTGAATGCCTTGGTGTTTTAATCGATAGCAAACTGACATGGAAACCCCAGATTGAATCGATACGTAAATCATTTGGTGCAAAAGTGAAAAAGTTAAAAATCTGAAATACTTGTTCCAAAATTTCTTTGAAGAAATTCACTTCACAACAGTAATACCAACCATAACATATGCAATAACTTCATGGGCTACATGCAGCGAAAGCCTATTTGAAGAATTAGAAAACACCCATGTACAGGCCGCAAGAGTAATTAAGAGGATTCCACCAAATGTGAAAGACAGTGAGATGTTGAATGTTGTATGCATCAAAATGGGACTCATTAAGCTACCAATATGAATAAAGAATCCTTATATTTATGCAAAAGTAAAATAAGCCTGCCAGCTTCCTTCGATACGCTTTTTGAATCAAAAACGGAAAGACATAGTAGCCGGTTGAATCATACACTCAGGATTCCTAGATACCGGACAGAAATTGGCAGAAACTCAATTTCTTTCAGAGGTCCTGTGTTGTGGAATCCATTAAGCGAAGAAATGAAGAATACAACCATTGAAACGTTTAAAAAACATCTTAAATATGAACGAAAGAAGATAAATGCCATTTCATTTACTAAAGGAACGGGACAATTTTTAAAGAAATATTCTGATTTTATATATTTTTAACTTTAATAGAAACAACGGAAATAGGTGAAATGTCTTTACTTTAGTTTAATAATTTTTTTGTATTTCTTTAAATAGGAGGTCCACATCAGCTTGCAAAGCTGCCAGCATTCAAGCTGTTCTACCTCAATTAAGCAGACATATTTGTAAGATCCATCTTAAGCCCCCCCCCACCCTCCCTCTAAATTTTCAGCATCTGCTACACCCATGATCTCTAGAGGCTAATCTTGAGATGGTCTACGTTTCTCTGATATTTATTTATTCTGGACTTTTTGCTTGTCTTTTGGGTGATGGATTACCCTTACAATAATGCTTTGTTTCAAATGAGAAGCACCAAATGCAATTGGTTACAAATACAGGATCAAAGTACAGAAAGTATGTCACATAATCGGCAGGAGCATATCTGATTTGTGTGAAAGTGATGTGACACTTTCCAGGTTTTGTGAGTTTGTTGGTGAAAACTTCATCATGATCATTAGTTGTTTATTCATGCAATGGTAGGTGAAAATTGTCTTAATCTAATGGCTTTGTTGGTAAACTTTACTTTTCATGGCCCCATCAATCTATTCTGGAAGGTCAAGGTACTGTATACAAGACATGAACATTGTTTTTTCAACTCTTGAAGTTTAATAAATGTAGCAGTGGTTATCATATAGCAGATCTCACAGCCAGATCCATTCTAACATCGATGCATGAAGCTAGTATAAAACAAGAAACTCGTAATTTGTCAAACAAATATTTTATGTTATGCAGTTTTTAGTGATTGTTGATGAATTGTCAGAAGGAACTGTAAATGAGTGTGAGTTCTTTAAAAAACAATATACCTTGTTCCTAATGTTTTGGCCATCCTTAACTGGTGAATTTGGTAAGTTAATTTCGTTTTCTACTTTATTGTGACTTTTTGTCGTTTTTTCAACAGACAAGGGTCTCTCTGGCAAAGGTCCAGGAAAACTGCTGTTTATGGAGAGTATGCATCAAAGGAAACAGTTTATGTGTGACCAGGTTATTTTTGATAAACTGTTTTTTAAACTAACAACACATTAACAAACCATGTCTGCCTGCATTTTCGTACCAATCCAGTACATAGGCACAAATCATTCAACTTAACATTAACCTCTAACAACAAGAGGCTACTAAATGAAGTTACACAAAAATCTAAAATTTAAATGATGTTGGGGAAGGAATGGACAAGAAAAGTCTCTTCCCCCCCCTCCCCCAACTAGAAACCAATGAAATGGTGCAACCCTGAATCTGCAAATCATCAATAACACAAAAGATTCCTTAAGGTATGAGAAATTTTCTTGATGCCAGAAAAAGAAACTAAAACTGCCAAAAATGATTAATGCAGAAAAAAACAAATCAAATAAGGAAAGGAACATCCGTCTTGAAATAAAAGGCTTCACCAAGCAAAGTGAGACTCATAAACTGCTATTTCAAGCCCATAAACAGAGGCGGACCCAGAGTGAGTTCCTTGGTGCACAGAACTCAGTCAGTTTTCCAACATATAGCTAAAAATAGTGTTGCCTTAAATAAGTAATATTTAGGCTAAAAAAGTGAAACCTAGAAATTGTAAGTTTTATCGCAATCTCTTCAAAATCTTAAAATTGCCAGTTTGATGTGATTCGTTTGCCCTTTTTTCCTTCCTTCTCTGTCGTGATTTTGAAACGATTTACCAGACGCTGTGGAGGACAACAGCAGTCAATCCTAGAACTCGGAAATAAACGTTTTGTGCCTCGGAAGTGAATGAATTGAAGCAATGAAATTTTTGTTTGGAACACGGATGGAGCTCAGTCAAAACAGCATCTGAAACTCGGAAATGATACCATATTTGTAAGAGAGCTGTACATTAGCCAGTAGTTGATTCGCTACCTATTGTTTTTGTTCTATTGTGGAACTGCAAAACATTGAATTCGAAATGGCGACTGCACATGTCTTATTTTCACGATCCTCGCAGCATTCTAGCAGATTATTAAGCGTTTGGGATAAAACCAGGAAGTATCATTAATTTTCCAGGAGCATAACTACCTTTATTTTAAATTGCAGTCGTTGATGGCAAGAGAGACCTATGGTCAGACGGAGCACCATATTTTGAAAAATAGGCTGATGTCTACGTGAGCAAAACAACAAAGTGCGAGTAAAACAAAAGGGAAACCTTTGCTGTGGCATCCCAGACAAAAAAGAGGGTATTTAGAAAGGGAGGGGTTGCAGAAATTTTCACAGAGGCACTGGTTTCTGTCGGAAAAAAATCTATAATCTAGATTTATTGAGTGGATAGTACCTACCCCCCCCCCCCCCCCCCCCGGTACCAGAATGCATAAATGTGAATAATAATGTTGGCTTAGGCACAATTATCAATGCATTATCTGAAAAACCCTAGCCTTGACCTGGAACTCAGTCAGATTTTTTGCTGGATCCGCCCCTGCCATAAATACCGCTTGTTCAACCAATGTAATAGAAATGCTATTAAACTAACTGACCTTATGCTAGTGTTCTAAGAAAACACCCCAAGATGCCAAAAGACTCCAGAGCATATTGTATATTCCTGTAGAATGGGTGCAAGTAAAACACGAAGAAACACGTCACAAGGGACCATAGCAAAAGCAAAGAAGTATCATTAGGGTGAATCAATTAAATGACGAATGCCTCTCATGAAATCAACTCTGATTAAATTCCAATTTGTCATTATATAAACAGCATGTGTTGTTTTGTATTGATACAGGCTGATGCATTTATTGCCCTTCCTGGTGGATTTGGGACCATGGAAGAACTTGTTGAAATGATTACTTGGTATGTTGACTTTTGGCATCAAATTCCCTATTTGAAAGTGTTACTTTATTTCATTCACATGAACCAATCAAGTATAACCATCCACCAGTTTACCTCACTTTACCAGATTGTAATCATATTGCTTGCCTGAAAAATCTGATGTTTTTTATTGTCACTTTGGCTGCCAACTGATCGAATGTCTATACCATTAGACAGTCGATCGACAGAAAATTGTAAATTATTCAAAGCTGAAATTAAATAAACGGATCTTACTTGCTCGTGTAGACTATGCACACCATATATTTCTAATATTGGATACTTGTAAACATCACAATTTCCTATATTTGTTATTGTTGCAAGTTGGTGTTAATTAGCTGTTTATTAGCTATTATTTTGTAAACCAACATTAAATAAAGCGAATATAAAAAGACAACTAGACCCAAAAAATGGGCATCAGAAGTGTGGAACTTATTAATTGGCAAAAAGAGTTTTAACCCAGAATTTCCGCATAGAAACAGCAGGGCCAGTCAAAAAGATTCAGAAGATGCATAAATATTTGCTATGTGTTGTATGATACAAAAATACATACAAATTTGCTTTGGATTCCTCATTTACCTTTAATAACATATTCTAAAAGTACTTCACAGTGATATCCAGTGTTTTTCAAAAATACTTTTGTGTCTTACGAGCATAAAAGCTGATTTCCATGAGGCAAATTCCCACTATTTTTTTTGGGTCTTACTATTCCAAAGTTGCCGAAATGGCGAATGTCAAGGGATAATTTTCTCAGAAATGAAGAGCATTTACGGTTCTGTGACTGGTTATAAGTTGCTGCTAAATATTTCATCATGAAAATGTATTATTTAATACTTTCTAGCAAATTCACTGCCAAATAAAAAGTCAACATCACATGCCTTAATACAATAACTCATTGCAAAATTTGCCCATCTGGCCCTAAATAAATATTATTAGGTACTGCTTTCCGCTGACATTTAAGGTATGAAGTATTGCTTTCATATGTTGATTTCCTTCCTGTACCATTTAGAAATATTCAAATTTTTTATCCTAGTAAAAGCTAATGAAAATTTCCTTTTCACCCTTACTCCCTTATTGGAACAAAGGGTACAGCTTGGATTACACAACAAGCCAATTGGAGTTCTAAATACAAACAATTATTACAAAGGTTTCATAGAATGGGTACGTGATTTTAGTTTATAATTTAAAATTTAAAGTCTTTTAATTCGCATTTTCAATGTTTAACCCTACGAAACGTAAATATACTAGCTTGCGTGTCGTACAATACAGTATAACTTGAAATTAAGGTAGAATTGTACGAGGTTAAAAAAACGAATTTTAAAAACGACATTCGTCTGTAGCCCGTTATCGAGTGAAGAGGCTGCTAAACAAGGTTGTGTCAACGTTTCAAGTCTTAAAATGGCACATAGAGTAACTGTGCGAAAATAACCTTTGTTTAATTTTCCGACCTAGGTAGCGAAGGCTGAGGAAGAAGGGCTAACCTATAAAAAAGCAGAGACATTTTTTGTTGTAGCAGACACTCCAGAGGAACTACTGAATAAACTAGATGCAGTGAAAAAGGAACGAAGTTCAGAAGTTAATTAGAAATTGGCTTTTTTATTGAGCAGATGTCCACAGACTGGCCGATAAGGTCCGGCTGGTTTTAAACTGTTAAATAACTCATTGGCTCTTAGGACTAGTCCCTTGTAAAAGTACGAATTTGTCCATGAAATATCCATGAGTTGTGATTTGCTGCATTTTCTGCCATTTTTTGTCTTTTTGGTGATTTTCGGTGACATGACACCTGACACTGATACTAGTAACTACAGTCCTGGCCAAAAGGTTAGTGTGACTGGAGAACCCCCCCCCCCACCCCTCCCAATAGCAATCGAAATGAGTTGCAATAAGCATGTCAACATCGCTTGTGTGGGGGAGGTGAATAGAGAGTGTATTTTATCAAAAAGGCTGTAATTTGCCTGCGAGTCCAATAACTTTTGCCAGGAGTGTAGTTTGTAGGACTCCCTGTCAAACAGTCTGCTCTTCTTTTAGATTATAATTATGGTTCTGGATTTGAATTGTTTTTAAATTTTTCCCCAGAAAGGTAAGCCTCAAAATATCTTCCATATTTATTCCTTTTAAATAATTTGACGTTTCGGTTGGTGATGATTCAAAAAATAATTTTTTTGCAAAGGAAAATTGTGTTTTCTGTATATTTCTACAAATATCCAGTGGTGCAGAGAGGGGGCAGGTGGGGCAATTTGCCCCAGGGCCTCGGCCTGAAAGGGGCCCCCAAATTATTCTGAAAATTTTTTTAAAATATCTTTTTTTGAGAAACTGAAAATGCATTCAAAGATATATTTGTTAATATCGAAAATGATGGCAGTAATTTCTTGGGTCCGTACTCTGAGTCTTGTTTGAATTTAAGGCCTATCAGCTGTATTTATTGAGTCTGGGGCTCCGAGAAAAGCTGAATAAACCTCAG